ACATTAATGCCTATACCCTATATTTACACACAAAAGTCACGATTTTGTATTGGAAAATTGTCCTTATTTTGGTCGAAATGAATAATGTTCAAAAATTTGTAACTCCGCTTTGGCTTATCCCATAGGAATGGTTGACCCCTCATTTTAATCCTGTTTTTATGTACAATTCAATATTTAACTTTAAAATTGCATGATTCTGCCTAATGAAACTGTTTGCCATAATTCTGCCATAGGCTCTAGACCTACTTCTTCTAGATCTTATAGACTCATTCCCACAGCCGTTGAAATTTTTTATTTGACCCGATGTCAAAGGTCATATTTTATTTGTAATTGCGCCGAATGGTAAAAGGGCCGAATGAAAATGCGCCGAATGGTGAAAGAGCCAAACGTAATGGTAAAAGGGCCGAATGTAAATGCGCCGAATAGTAAAAGAGCCGAACGTAAATGCGCCGAATGGTAAGCTGTTACCGAAGGCAGCGATGGCGTTCCATAGCTGACTGCCATCACTTCTTTGACAGTCTTCCTTATGAATAATAATATTACTGAGATACACAATTTTTATTGTTAAAATGAGAAATAACTTTCCTGGATCATTTAAAGGGGGTGCGGGGATGAAACGATTGATTTTTAATTTAAAATAGAGGGATGGGCGACCACAATGACGGTGACGGCACTCGATTTTGGAGCGTGGTATTCGAAAACGAGGCTCGTGAACTGGGTCCCAAAAAAAAAAAACTGGTGCTACAGGATTTTGAGCTAGTCTTATAAGATAGGGAATTTCCTAAAATGTACCGACTTTCAAAGGCTTGCATTCGGTAACCCAATAAAAAATCGTGTCAAACTTTAGATATTCCAATGTAAATTTGGCCGTTCTTTTCATTTATATTGGTTTTCACTTATGAAAATGTCTCAATTATGTGTAAAATAACGATTTTCCCCAGTTTTTATTTCGGAAATTTGCACTAGACAGGAAGTCAGCTGATTCACTCAACCGTGACGAGCTGGTAACGACACAGCCAACTGATGAGAATGGTCGTCGCAAGCGGAAAATTGAAAAATTAGGACTGGCGAAAATATTCAATAATATTAAATAATACAAGTCGAAGGCATTTTTGAAGAATCAATCTTTCAAAAAGATATGTTTGCTGGTTTGGATAAGGAAGTCTTGGAAGTGGTGATCTTAATAGTGGCGTTAAATAGGTTTGTTTAATATCAACTTGTCTTACCTGTGTATGCATAGCCTGGCATTTAGTGCAGTAGGCCTGCCGTATGTATGTAGAGAATACGGAATACTACTCTACTGCCTGGCGCGGCCTAGGCATAGAAATTATAATTATAATATTTCAAACATTAGGGGCAAACAAACAACACTATTTTAAATAAAGTACATTAATTTAAATGTTAATTATTAGATCCATGGATAGATCTAGGATCTACTACTACTACTACAGTACAGATTACTAAAATGCCAGTTTATTCGTTGTGGAATGTGGATGATACCTTGAAAACTAGCTCAAATTTGCGCGGAAAATGGCTTGGAAAAATGTGCAGAGATACATTGGCAATGGTTATACCAAAGATACTAGAAATACAAGATAGAGTTCTCGCATTGTAAAAATGAGGCGCAAGTCGTGCCCAACGTACAGGGCGCCCTTCTGTTGCTAAGTATATCCAGACGCAAAAGGCGCCCTTCCTTTTCCACTAATGGAGGAAAACTTTTTCACTAAGAGTGCGTCCGGCCATGCGATTCTGCGCTGTAATTTTGTTTTATTCTTTACTGATTCATGATTATGCTTTAATTGTTTTGTGTATTATTTGGATAATAGCAACGATTTCTACCGCCACCAAGGAGGTTATGTACTGTATTCACCGATGTCACTGTCTGGGTGTCTATTCTAGTTTGTTTTTATATCTAGTATCTTTGTTGAGAATTGATGATAAAATACACGACGACTTGGTAACGAAAGTTTGGCACAAGTTTTTTTTTTAGATCCAGCTGTAGGGGGCGTCCCATTTTTCGTATTCCCACCATGCATTTCGATGGAACACGGTGGAACACTTTTTTTGTGTGGAGAACTCTATCTTGTATTTCTAGTATTTTTGGTTATACCATAGAGATATAATAAGAATACTAGAGCGCTAACAGCAATGTATTCGATGTTCGAAATACGCAGAGCTGTGTGTGTGTACCAACCAAGATGGCTGCCATAGATTCAGCCAATCAAATTTCCCCTGAGCACTATCATTTTCAATTGCGCCCTCAATTTACACAGAAAGTTCAGTGTAGCAAGTTACCCGTATTTTGAAACTCGAGCGTTGCGGTGTATGGGTGTAATGTACACGATTTTATTTCTTTTTAATATTTGAATAAGATGCTCTACTTGGCCTCTTTTTGGCTACGACAGTTTAATAATTTGTCATTATCAATACTAATTATCATTAATGAAATAATACTCAGTCAGAGGGCTTATTTATGGTAATAATATGTATACTAAGCCTAAAGGTGGCGCTTTCCTACGGCAGCCATCTTGGATGGTGAGTTGTGAAATAAACATTGGCGAGGAATTATGAAGTGCTTTGAAAACAAATAATAAAATCTTGTAAGTAATTCTCTGTGTTACAGGAAGCCAATGAAGGTAGAGTATGTTTGTCAATTCTAAGTTGATTTTAAGTGGTATCTTCAATACATGATCTAGCCCAAATTTAGGACCCTTTTGTGGGTGTCTGGCTGGACATATCCAGCGGATAATCTGTCTGGCAATACACTTTTTATACTTAGTAGAGTATGTTTGTTAATTTTAAGTTGGTTTTATGTGGTATCTCCAAAACATGATCTAGCCCATTTTTTAGCCCCTTAATTGGTGCTCCAGGGGGCACACCCAGCAGGGGGTCCCCGGCAGACATCCATATATTGATATGTTATGTTTACATAATAAATTTTCCTGTACACGGATATTGGTACCTTGTTCATTTGATCAAACTGCTCTTGGCTGCCGGTCTACCGTATATGGCAGATTAGAAATAGGCATGTTTTTTTTAAACAATTATTACATCATTTTGCCCCTTAGTGAGCGGAAAAAATATTTAGGTTTGACGCACACATGTGTCATCATTTTATATTCAGAGTTCATAAAAATGTATGGAATTTATCAAGTAGTGCATGAAAAACAGAAATCCTCTCCAAAAAGGTATTTGTATGTTACGTACAAGCTGCGCGGGTTAAAAAGTTTTAAAATTCTTGAAGTATGAAAATTATGACTTCATAGATAAAAATTCAGTTTTTCAAATTCAGATGGCAACATGATGACATCACAATGTCTGATCAGTCAAAACAATGCATAAAATCATATCTATAACTCAAGTGCTTTCAGAATAAAAAAAAAAATTGGGGTCACCATGCATGCTAAGGAGCTCTAACTGATTTTTGGATATTTCACTTTATTTGAAATTTTAACGAACGTGTTCAGACGTGTTATGACATGCTTCAGGACGGTAATGGCATATAAAGTTGACCCTTAATATGAAGTATATTTGTGTCACCATATCTCATTAAAAAAGGCTTGTTGGTGAGGGATTTATGATCAATCAAAGGATTTACGTCATCAAAAGGACAATAAAGAACAGATTAAGAAAGAGAATTGTCTCGGCTATAACATACTGAGAGCAAGGAAACGATCAAGGATAAGCGATAGATACGCTCAAATGCGCATAACATAATGGCAATATGATGACATCACAATGTCTGATCAGCCATAATGATCTATAAAATTCAATAAATATCTCTGAAGAATGAGGATTAAATTGAGACACAGAAGATGAAATACACTGTATATATTTTGTTACCACAAAACAAATGTTTAAAAATAGTAAATAAATACAATTTGTAATAAGGTATGAATCCCATGAGAAACAAATGTAAAACTTTGTAATACAAAAGCATTTGAGTATATGCCAACGTCATCAGCGCCACTGAACATTGCATCTGCCGTGGATACTAGAGTTTTACAAATTTTTATTGATTGTGAAATGTGATTCCTTTGTGTCCTGTTAATGTTATGGGAAACTGATGGTTATTTAAAAATATAAACCTTACATCATTTCTTCATTACAGGACTTGATTTATTAGAATTTTTTATGAAATTTATTATACTGCATTTCACCAATAAATTTGTATGCATGACAATATACATGATGTAAATTGTAAGGTAAAGTAGTTGGATAGTTTAGAAATGACTTAATAATGGTGTTTTCACAACCAATGTCTAGACTGTATGTATTATTTATATTTGTAATTTTTATAAGCAATATTGTGGTGCTGTTAGTTAAAATTGAGTGTATGGTGCTTTGTATTTCATCAAATTATTTTTTTAATTTAAACCAAAGATTTCAGGTAAACCAAAGATTGTAAGCATGATATGATGTAAATTGTAAAGTAAAAGTAGTTTGATAGTTTAGAAATGACTTGATATAGTTTTCAAACAACCACTATCTAAACTGTGTACAGTTATTTATATTTGTAATTTGTATAAGCAATACTGTGGTGCTATTAGTTACAATTGAGTGTATGGTGCTCTTTTTTTCATAAATTATTTTTTTACTTTAAACCAAAGATTTCAGGTAAACCAGAGATTGTAATGCAATAATAATCTGAATGGTACTGTAGTATGTTAATTTAGATTGTCTCTCTAAATGCAAAAGAGTAAATGAAGAGTGAAAGAGTACCTATAGTGACCACTCTTTATAAAGTGGGGGGGGGGGAGAGAGATTTCACTCTATTCAGAGTGAATTTTAGAAATTTTTCACTATTTTAAGAATAATATTTACTCATTTAAGAGTGAATTTTCACTCAAGGAAAAATGAAATTGGAGTGGTCCCTGTAGTTACTCTTTTCAAGTGAAAATTCACATTTTTACATTAAGAGATGTATATTGACATAATATCATGTTACTTATCACAACTCATATTGTGACCAATGAAGCTGTATAAACATTGTATATTAATATTCTAGTACTGTAAAGTTCATCAATTTAAATTATTTATTTTTGCTACTAATGTACCTGTAATGTATGTTATAGTGTATGTCATAAACTGCATCTGCCTTTTGATATCATAATTAATTAAACTCCCAAATGTATTCTGTGCCAAGTAAGTAATGATAGAACCATTAGAGAGCGTGAAGAGTTAAAGGAACTCAAGGCGACTTAGAAACAAAGAATAGATAATGGTGAGAAGGACTTGGTAATTAGGAAGGGTAGGATAACTACTTTCCGTGAAAAAAACCCCAATAGTCAGACCGTTAATCTAAGAACTGGGAAAATTAGTTGCTTAAATGTTTTTTACAAAAATTGTGATTCTTTTTTGAACAAGAAATCTGAATTAATTCTACGTTTAGCAAATGAAAATGTGCACATTATTGCTTTAACAGAGGTTATCCTGAAGAAGTATTTATTTGAGTTGTCTACTGAGGAGTTTCATATCCCTGGCTTTCATTTATTTGTGCCAGATGAGAAGTTTGTTTTAGGTAGAGGAGTGGCAATATATGTTAAATTCGTCGTTCACAACACGAACTAACACAATCAAAGTAGATTGTGTTAGTTCGTGAAATCACAGTAGCGCGTCAAAACGAGCGCTTATTGGTTGTCAAGGAATTTTGTATTCTTTACCACACGAAAAGTCCTCAACAACAACAGTGCGTATTTTGACGTGCTTTCTTGATTTCACGAATTAACACAATCTATTTTGATTGTGTTAGTTCGTGATGTGAGTGACAAATTTACTGGCGATGAAAAGCTGTATTCAAGGTTCAAGGAGGACTTTCAGAGACTTGTGAAACCAACAATGCAGTGTGACCAGTTGTCATACACATTGAGAAGTTGTTTAGGTAGTGAGCCAATGAAAGTTGTCATGCCAGCAGAGGAAAAGATTGAAAGGATTTGGAAAATGTTAGACAACAGCTGTGGTAATAGATCAAAGCTGGTGGATATAGTAGTGGGTGATTTGGTAAAGCTAGCATAGATACAACTGCGCAAGAGTTCTTGTCCGAGTTTTTTAAACCACTGAAAGGAATCAAGACATTTCATCACATGTGGTATATGTTAGTGTTAGGTTTACTTAACCATACTTTGCCATGAAATGAAAAATACCCCTACATGGAATCGGAAATTGAAACATAATGTTTTACTTTTCCCCAGCATTTAATTTATTTATAATTAATATAAATAATTTCTTACACATAATTCGATTTTATTATTATAGATTTAACAGCAAGAACCAGGGCCGGTGTATGTGAGGAATACAGTAGTTTTCCAGAACAAAAAGTTCAACATTAGAAGAATCCTGACATATTATCCCCTGATGTGTTACCTGAACTTATTCCTTCTCCAGGCTTGACTCCAGCTAGAGAATGGTTCTTATAGTAGATAATTAGGGAGTATGCTTGTATCTGAATCAAAAATCAGATTATTACAAATTAACAACAATAATTTGCAATGCAAATACAATTCATTTATAATATGAAATCAGCAAGAAATGTAATTAAAACAACATTAACTTATATGTTCCAAATATTATTTTATAATGCAATGTTATGACCAAATATTCTATTTTTTTAAATATAGTGCTTTCTATTGGATGGATGTAGCATGAATAGAGTATGACTTAGAATTAAGGGTGCATGTAATTGTTTGGATTAGAATCCTTATGTACACACAAAAAAAAAAAAAAAAACAAGGAAAAAGAATGTCCCTATGAAGACTATTCCAGTACCAGTACCATCTGATTCCAAGATATACATTTTCTAGTAAAGAGAACAAACAAGCAAACTTGCACTCTATTCTGACTACAGATTAATGGGGACAAAATGTGTTGAAGTAAGTTTACAAACGTTACTTGTTTTCGCAAGCAAATCAAGAATTGGGATGAATACGTGAAAAAACTACCTTGCTACAAAGAAAATAGAGAGAAAAAGTAATGACATCACGTTTCCTGGCGACCGGATTGTCTGGGCCAAACAAAACTAGGTCAGCCATTTTGCTCTATTCTAACACATTGAATTTACAAGCTGTTACAGAGTCCGCCGTTAATATTGAATTTTCAATCATTTATATTGTTTTATCCCGTATTATTTTACGACATTACAGAATTTGAATAATATGTTGATCATATTTTGATAAGTTTGCATTCATTTTTCATTCAGAAGTTATAAAAAATAGCATTCTAATTTTGCACGAGATGTGGTTTTTTTTAACGGTTTTTCTAGAATCGATCGTTTAACGAATGTACAAAGCAACATATACATTAAATACGATTATTGATTAAATTAATAATTAGTGTATTGTTTGAAAACGTTAAAATCTGTATATACAATCCTGCAATTTTCGGGTTTTGGGGCCCGGGCCAGGCCTAATTTCAGGTAACATGGCGCGGTGTTCGATCAATTCGGTCGGCCTAAAACTCGTTCGAGCACAGTGCGTGTTAGGCTACAGCATGCCTGATAAACCAAGCTAGCCTAGGCCAGTAGTGGTGTTAATTGCGGTATTTTCAGACTAATTTTTGGGGGTTTAGCATACAGTTAGGTTGATATGTGATTAGCTAGGCCTACTAGTGGTAGTTAATTTTTTAACACCTTAATTTAATAATATTAATAATGAAATTAGGGCTAGGCCTAGGCCCCTACCCTAGGCCAAGGCCAGATATAGGCCTAATTATAACCCCTCTTCTTTTCAATCATATTTCACAGGACAGTGTTGGATGGTTGCTAGTAATGCAGATTAGTGGATCGTACCAACTACAGTAAGCCTAGTGTTGGTAGCCATGGGATTGCTGAATTTATTTGCAATTTTTAAATTCTTTGGTGGCCTTAATGAGAAGGCACTGCAAAAAGGGGAAAACCACCTGAAGTCAAACCATGTTGAGGGTTGCCGTTACGCCGATGGGTTAATTGAAGGACGTGTGCATGCCAGTATGAAGAACAAGGTGTATGATGTTAAGGTATCGTAAAACAAAATTAAACTTATGTTCAATGAATTGTTGCTGTTGAATAATAACAGGAAAAAAAATGTTCACTAACTTGTTGCAAACCACACAATATTTTACTTCTTCACATTGTAAAAAAGGGTTGAAAAATAAATGTTTTTAAATGGAATAAGCTACTTTAATGGTGTTTTATATATATTATTTTATAGATACAAATTGAAGGTACAGCCAAAAATACAAAAATCCTGTCAACATCGTGCAAATGTGCAATTGGTCGGGTTCGCATGCTGCGACATTGGCTTTGTGGGCGCAAAACAATATTTCGTGAACAGACATACCATGTGAATGGAACAAACCAATGGGGAAAGCGGAGACAACAAAAAGCATTCAGGAGATGTATCCTGCTGGGAAGGTATACACACTGCTGCAACGACCCACTAATTCTGATGACAAAAAGGCTATGGTGTCCGGACTCAAATATTGTGGCATGTTTACAACCCTCTACTGGATGCTACTTCCCGAGACAATCAAAGAAACCGTAAACCTTCCTATCCAAACTGTACGGGAACTAATTGAAAATTTTCCAGTGGCAAATGTTGTCGTAGAGTTGGCAGAATTCCTGAAGAGAGCCATCCATCCGTAAACTTCGATGTGCTATAATCCTCCGATGTCACTCACCCACCGTTACATTTATATTCATAAAACTACCGTAACTATATGGGGTTTTATATTTGATTTAAAGTTTAAAAATAACTAAACTATAATTAATAATTATTAAAATAATTCAGCACAGTCCTGATACCTTAGTGCAGTAATGGCGAGCCCACCACCACAACTCACCCCATACGGTTCAGTGGAAGTGAGCCATACATCGACAGGTCACCTAACTCCACTCCAAATGGCAGGGTTTGACCCACCATCATCTACACCAACAATGTCTGAGAAATCTAGCCAATCTAAACCGACACCAACACCCCGACCATATTCACAACTGAGTTTTCCTGATGTCGAAACCAAACCAATTCTGCCAAGCTCCAATGTCATAACAACCCACCAGACTAAACAGGTTGCGACGTTTTCCGGGCGCAACAACAGCCACCAAGTCGAGGATTGGATACGGGATATGCGATTCCTAATCGAATCGAAGCTATCGGATAGTGCTGGCTACGGAGAGGTTATTCGACACACACAGGGGAGGGCCCGAGATCTGGTATTGAATTTAGAGGCCAGGGGCGATGTCGGAAAAACAGCGTCAACAGCCTTGGAGAAGCTGATGTTGGAATATGGTGAAGCAAACCCTACACTGTCACCAATAACAAACTTTTATGCTTGCGTTCAGAGGCGTGGAGAGAGTGCAAGCTAATATGCTATCACCTTGGAAGCCATGCTTAGGAAAGCTCAAAAGATAAAACCCATGGAGGGCAGTGATAGGATGCTTTCATCTTAGTTTATGCTTGCCCCAATGAAATCACGTGACATGCCATTTACTCAACTTAGACGGGAGCTTCGGATCGTGGCAGAGGAAAGTAATCAAGCAGAGAGGAGGGCATTCTCGATGAACCAGATATCAAGGACACTTCATCCCAGATTGACAAACTAAAAGAGGCCCTAGATAAACAGTTAGAGGCTACTAAAAGCCTTATCGAGTCGCACCAGAGCCTGTCAGAGCGGCTCCATCGAATCAAAATTTCTGGGCCACGTGGTTTTACCAATGAGATAGCTCAACCACAGAGAGGACAGTGGACCACAGCATCACAACACCAACCGATAAATCCACCTCAACATCAACCACAGTCACGTTTCAACCAGCCAAAAGGGAAGCTGCTCCAGTGTCACATCTCTCGATACTGTCCACTACCAAACCGTCCTTTAAACTAGTTTCGCCTGCTGTTAAGGGGCAACCAGTGGGTGCGATAGAGAAGATCCCGTTTGTTGTAGATAGTGAAGTTTTGATCTGACTGACGATGAAATGGAATGTGACGAAAAGACGGAAAAGATTAATTCCATACCCATTATTCCACCGCCTATCGAATGTGAATCAGACATGTCAGTCAACAGTCCTATGAAGTATGGCTTATCTGAGGACAGCTTCTCCGAGGACGAATATAGAGTAGTTCGTCCCCCAGTCCGGTTCGGCGAGTGAGAGGGGATTAATGGGTATAATGGACATCACTTAGCTAAGCTGGAAACTCTTGTATAAGTTTGGTTCTTTGCTTTGTTGAATTTCCTTTAATACTGTGCCTTGTATCACATTGGTTATTATTTTTAATTGTTGGTGACAACAATAACAAACTGGGGGGGGGGGTGTGTGAGGGTATATTTAAGACAGCATTGCGCCCTCAGAGTGACCACATCAAATTACATTAAGATTAGGGACAAAGGCAGTGATAGTCAAGCCATCCATCCGTAAACATCGATGTGCTATAATCCTCCGATGTCACTCACCCACCGTTACATTTATATTCATAAAACTACCGTAACTATATGGGGTTTGAGCCGCTATTTTAATCTCACTATTGTGGAAAGACTGTGCTGTTAACTTAACATATATCTTTTAATTTGAATCTTTCTAATTTTTATCGTAAACTTGATCGTAATAATTGCTTTAAACTATCGTGAATTAATTTAACATAGATTTGAGTTTCGTTTATATGCTTTCTGTAATTATTTAATTTGGTTTAAATATGTTCTTTTAATCGGCATTGGCTTTTGAATCATAATTTATATAATTTTTCTAATAAGCATAATACATTTTGTGACCTTGAAACCTTTGGAATAGACCATCTTAATTAAAGTCTAATAATTTGTTACATTTATCCAGTCTTCTTCTCAGTCTGTCCAGCGTTTGAATCAGTATTTAGTTTTAATTCAGTCTTGATCGCTCGTCCCACATCTTTAACGCTATTCAATTTCATTATATCCGTTGGACAAGTTCCGACAGTGACAAGAGCACAACTGAACATGTATGACGTTGTAGAAGTAGTGAAAGCTGTTGGACAAAGATCGACACCGGCATGGCAGCAGTTGAGGAAGGGACACTTGACTGCAAGCAATTTTCGAAAAGTTTTGAGCGCCAGAAAAGTAACACCGTCGCTAATTGATTCTCTTACAAATCCAAGGGATTTGTCTGGTGTGAAAGCTATCCAATGGGGTATTGACCATGAAAACGATGCACTGCAGCAAGTAGAAATGGCTTTAGGTCTGAAAGTTGCCCAAACTGGTCTCTGGTTACACACATCAGGCTTAATTGGTGCATCACCAGACGGTATTATTGATAGCGAAACTGTACTGGAAATCTAATCCCCATATACTGGAAGGGATGAAACAATTGAGGAACTTACAAAATAATGAACATGCAATTTTTTTGGTATGCACTGCCAATGGGAAGATTAAATTAAAGAAAACCCACAATTATTTCCATCAGGTACAGGGTTAGCTGTACCTCACCAACAGGAAGAAATGTGTATTTGCAGTTCACACTCTAAAAGAGACATTGATACTTGGGGACATAGTCAGAGATGAGCAGTGGGTGGAAAATATATATTTTCAAGCCAATCAACGCAACTAGACTTGCTGAAACTATTGCCACACTTTACAACGCATTTGAAGGTGCAAGTCAGCACAACGTCAGAAGACAGGACCTTAAGTATGTACCTAGGCGTATCATGGTCAAGCCAGACCAGATAACATGATTCTTAGCAGAAAAACCTGATGTTGCTGTTTAGCAAGTCGATTGGACAAGCCTTTAAAGACAACAGCATACAGTCATATTACATCAGCGCTGGTCCAAGCAGCATCTTTGCTTGATTTTCTGAAGTCTTCTCGAATATGGACTAGAAATCCTAAGCCTAATGTAAACAATAGGTTTGTGTGCAACAAAATATTACATCATTTGAGGTGAAATTTTGAAATCCCTAAAGTCATAATAAGGTTATAATCATTAAAAAACATATCAATTAATATTAAATTAAATATATAGTTTATCATCTCAATAATAACAATTTTCATATAAAAAAAAATAATATTATTTTTTGTATTTGTTTTTTATTATATATTTTGAGAGAAACCTCAAACATGGGGGTATTCCCAATAAAGTTTCATATTGCATGTTACGTAGCACATTAACAAAAAGGCATAAATGAAAGGAGAAAATAGTTTTAAAATCAGTGAAAACCCCTAAAATACACCAAAAAGAGTACAATCTATTAAACTTTCAGGAAGAACACCTAGATAACTTCCCCTCCCTTCCCTCCTTTTGCACAAGGAATTGCTCTTGTGTTTTATATAATTAACAGCTACAATATCACCCCATATATAAACAAATACAAACTACAAAATTTTGTTTTAGTTGAGATTATGTTGCACATGACTTGAGTACATTGTTTAACTACAATAGATATCTGTAATTGGTACGCTGGTTTCATGTTAAAATTAAAAAGAATTTTAAAAAATCAGAAATAATGAATCTAACAGTGTTGTTCTATCTTTAAATATCATAGATGCTTAAACCTGTCTAGAGTAATTGCTTATTAAAATCCTCCTAATTAAATTTCCTTATTCAATCATTCATATACAGTACACAATCAACTTTTTGTTATCGCCACACTACCAAATGTTATGACATCATCATGCCTATATATGGGATATTCACACAAATCTTTCATAGTGTGGACAGAGCTTAAAGTCCTGTCCACACTATCAATTTTCTTTGACAAAAAATCTATTGTATGCCCATATATAGTCATGATGTGCCTGTATATGGTCATGATGTGCCTGTATATGGTCATGATGTGCCTGTATATGGTCATGATGTGATGTCATCATGGCCATATTTAGGTATGTCACATGTTTTTGTCAAATAAAATTTGATAGTTGGGACAAGGCTTTAAGGATATCCTTCAAATACCAGTATAAAAGGATTGTGTACTTGCTGGCAATCTACACCACTATCTGTACCACCAGCTTATTTACAGATATATTATAAGAATTTAGTAGAAACTACATATTATGTATAACACTAACAAAACAAATTCAAATATAAAACAGAATGCCAAGTGAGATTATATATGGTGTCAAACTACAAGTAAATTAGTCAGGTAGGCCTGTCTAGATCGTATACGATCTGAATCAACAGTATAATATCGTCATTGTGCAGTATTACAATTAAAATCATTGTTTATTACTAAAACAATAAAAGTAAATATCAGTAGTCCCAAAATATGTAGGTTCTACTCTATTGTAAATTAAATAAACAGATTGTATATAAAAATAGCTTATTTTTATAATATTGCTATCAATATCCTATTGAACAATAATAAAAATGAATGCAGACATTAATATTTGCCTTCAAATGGATTCCCTCCAAGACGATTGTAGAAATGCTGTAGAATCTCTTCAATTTGTTTGATGGCCTGTGATAAAAAACAGAATTAATAAATCAGCATTTACATCATTATATTAACACAATATTTAAAGTATAATTTTTCAATATTGGGGAAGATGTTTGGACTGACTGATTTATTTATTTACTAGGAACCCAGCATCCACTCCTGGCTAAAGCTAGTAAAATAGCACTGGTGGCGCTGCTCATGTGGTGACGGAGTTCGTTTAGTTCGGTGGAGTTGTTGGTGCCTGTTTTTTAAACTAATCTTTCTTTTTATCTACATTTTAAATGTTCTGATGGTTACTGTATTGTGCTACCATGTTGTTGAAGCAAATTATGTGCTTTTTTGGTGTTGTTTAACCATTGTTTTGGATCACCGCCTGAGTCAAGGATCACCTACACGGTGAACGAACTGCTAGTTATACAGGAGCAAAGCTGTTCCACCCCACCGCTGCCAGACAGACACAAATGGCCTAAGATCGTAAAACGCAGAAAGAGAGGGAAAGCAGGAGGAATCATGAAATGCTTTAAAAATAGGAAAAGCAGACCTTACATTCCATCTATTATTATTGGTGCAGTCACTGGACAATAAAATGGATGAACTAAGGGCAAACATGAGTTACCTTTAACGAATACCTTACATGGTGTGATCACATTGATAGCTTAATAAAAAAAAAATTAATTCCCATCTATACTGCCTCTGAAAAATATGATTTTAATAAATCTTTCAAACGTAAAGATTTTTGTCTTTCAAACTGTACTGTACTTATATTTTAACCAATTTTGATAGTTTTAACAATGTACGAGCAACGAATTTCTGTAAAAGGATGCAATAAAGTGAGTCTGAGACTGTCTGAGTTCATCTATTAAGTCCAGAGTGCTACATTTTAATTATTTGTCTGATATTTATTTACTAATATTTATTCCTTATGTACACCTGTGAATACTTATGAGATGATACTGAAAGTTTCATTTGTCAACATCACAATATGTATTCTATAGAAAGCAAACCAAACCAGAGTAGAATAGTATTGTGTTCCATCAAACACTCGGCAATAACATCAGACATCCTCTTTCTTTATCTTCATACCAAAAGAACTAAATAAAGCATACATATAATCAGCTATTTATCTTACTTGTAAAGTGTTACTGGTGGCAAACTTGATAACTACACCTGGGATCTTCACGCCCTCTACTGTGTACTTTAATTCACTTATTGCCAGTGACACATCTGCATTGATCAACTCGCCTTTAAAAAACACAAAACATATTACAATAATAAAATGATATCAGTTAGCATTTTTGTAGGCTTAACCTTATGTGAAAAAAACATTCACCACTGATGTATTAATCTGGGAGTCCACGTAGGGTGGGGAGATGTATACAACACCCTAGCATGCATGAACAGTATTATTACAGCAGTTATTACAATTTAAATACCTACTAGGTAACATTGGCACTAACAATCTGAAAGTATAAATAATTTGTTTTACTATTTTATAAACATTGAAAATATAATAATAAAATTTGTCTATTTGCAGCCTACTTATCTTTATAGATCACTGATTAAGGTATTTCTCCATACAAAAGTTACTTCTATGTGATATCAATTATTAATTGCAAACTAGGCATTACCTTTAGAAAAAAAAAGCTAATGAAAAAAAATTCAAAGGGAGCTTATCAGCTTCATAGCTCAGTTGGTACACTACTCCAATCATTTTTGTGTCAGCAGATTTAAATAGGAATGATGTTTGCCCTAACTGAAGTGTTATTATACTGGATGCTCAGTGTATTCCCAAATAAAGTAAAAGTAGTAAAAAGTTTGCTAAAGTAACAATTCTTAAAGACAAGTCAGACGATAAACTTTTTGAATGATAACCATAGTCTCGTTAGTATCAAAACCAAATGAGACAATACATTTATTATCAGTTTACGTATACGTTCACACATTTGGTAAACCAAAGGCTATACAAAATTGAAGCATTAAAATACCTTGCTGAAAAGACCAAAACTCTGTAATTTAGAGGACAAATTCTGTGACATGTTTGTACTGTAACCCTTACCTAATGCTTGACGCTTGCCTAAAACCTGCAGTAGATGTTGACACTGTTCTTCTGTTGATTTTCCAATAATAATGCAAGTAGCTAGTACATTATAATGATGCATTGCTTCTTTCAGTGGAACTATTTTATGTTGGTCAAGTAGCATACAATCTTTAAAGACTAGTTTATTGTCTATGAAAATAGAATTACTACTTCTAAAGCTAGAATTAAAAAAAATAAAGAAGTTTAATGTTTAATGCATTCAAAGAAAAGTATTGATTTCAGCTTTTCTATTTATCCTTATAGTTTAGTGTATGTAGTTGTTTTGTTGTACATTTATGGTGCAGTTTCAGGGTATGTAAAAGATACAGCCACATGGAAGAACACCTTCTTGGTGTCCCTTTCACAAAACAGACAGACACCCGCTTAATCTCTACATGAGGTTTAAGAAGTGGAGTTGATTTAGTCATGAGAAAAAATCCTGCAACACTGACAGGAGCTGAATCCAGGACTGACCCTGGGATTGGAAGGTCATAACTTAATCATCAAGCTATTCAACTCCACTCTCAGTGTGCAGGCAGATAACATGCCCCCTACAGAATATTTAAAATGTACTACATGAATCTGCAAGGTGAATAGGAGTGTTACATAACAGAAGTGCCTGAAGTGTCAAAGAACAACAGAGGTCAACCTTCAAACTTTTGATATCAGGGTATTTTAAACAGTTAAGGTACATAATACGCAGGGGTGTCCATACCTTGTGAAATCCCATATTTCATTATTTGCCATTCTGCCAGAAGTGCACCAATCAAGAACTATAAGTGATGAATCATGGGACATATGGAAGACCTGAAAAATATACAGGAAAGTAAATATTTGATTTAAATATCTTAATTGTTATTACCAAGGAGTACACAATAAAATGTTCTAATAACTCTAGAATAACAATAGTAATAATAACGCAAATATTTCCTTTTCAAAACATTAACATAAACATCTTAATACATGATTGATTTACCACGTAAAAAGCTTATATGTAGTAAAATCAGCAAAGCCAAATCACACGACAGAATGTGTTGGAATAGTAACTACACAATGCAGTTTTGCCATTATTATTTCTTCTTCGACTTACTTGAGTTTGTTTGTAAGCTGCGTCCTCAAAGCAAACTATGAAATCTGGTAAGAAAGCAAGTAGGCCACCTGGACAGATCCTTGCAACTAAATGCTGCTCAGTCAACAAACCACCTGAACATGCAAACACCTGTAATCAACCAATCAGTCAGTAAATACACCATAAATAAGAAATTTTATGCTATCACATAAAAGTATGCTCAGAAAAAGGGAAGAGAGTGAAGCATTACAACCACGTACAATTTCACAATTGTCATAATAGACAAATCTACTTGACATATTTAAAAACATACAAGACCTAAATATACCTTATTTAAATATACATGTGTAAATTATGGTCAGCTTTAGCTTTTCTTGATTTTTGAGAAGTTTTTCCAATATTCTACATAGTAGAGTCATTTTCATGAGATCCGTGACTAATTTTAGGATACCATTTTTTCTCGATGGATTTGGCAAGATGGACCAATTTAGATAAAATATAGGGCCTACTTGATTTTGGTCTCAAATTGTTCACAATATGCATGTTCTTATTTGTTGTAATACAACTTTTTATCAAAAAATGGCGGGAAATGTGATTTTTGAAAGTTTGACCTTTGACCTTGTAATGTCATATCTCAGTAACTACTGGTCATAGAGACTCACAATGGATTGCAAATTGTTCAGGAAATTCATGTTTATATTCGTCCTAATGAAAAAAATATTCAAATAGTGACCGGAAACGGTTCATTCTGAACTTTGACCTATTGTAGGGTCATCCATGTCAAATTAACCAGATTAAGAAGAAATTCCTGTATGACCATCTCAGATTTTGATGAAATTCCATAAAAATTATCCACTGTATGAAAAACCAACAAAAAAAATTAGCCTCATAGGATATGTAGTTTTCGAGATATTGACTAATAAAAAATATGGGGCGTGGTCCTTCAAGATGTGCAAACGCAATTTACTTCAACTTTGAAAGTTTATAACTTGAGATTGGAAATAGCTATCAGGGTCAAACTTGGTATTCTAACTTATTTTTCGCCATATTTCACAAATATGGCCATAGATTAACAGTTATCCCTTCCCTTTTGAAGTTATCTGCACTCAAAGTAGCCGCTTTGTTTAACGATGCAAATTGTTTGTGATTTTCGAGGTCACCCTGCGTCTATATGAGTGGGTATATACACCTCATATTACAGATACATTATGTATGTGTAGTTGTCTCTAGCCACATGCAAGCACAGGCTGATCAAATCAATTAAAATTGAATGACATAAATTCGAAGTTGGGACCAGATCTATAAAAGTGAAAAATGCCAATGTTTCTCAACAACGGATTATCTTGTGGAAAGTTAAAATCTTTCCTTAAATTTACCCCAGTTAGTCAGATACATTGGATCTACCTATAAACCAAATTTTAGCTTTGGTACTTAGTTCATGGCTAGATACTATGTTGAAAACTAAACATATTTCAACGTAATAGGAAATCACAAACATTTTAAAGAGTTGGGTCATTCCATGCCAAACAAACAAATGCATTATACTATGGGTCATAGATTTTTTTTTAATTTTTTGCCACACTGACTCAGTGATATAGATATCTATGTGAACTGAAAACCTGAAATGAGACTTGCCAATTCGTTCATTTTTCTGTAGCGGCAGTTTGAAGTTAAGGGGCGTGGCCCAAAATAAATATGAATATAATGCAAATTCTAAGAAGTTTCTATTCATGAATCGAACATGAATATATTCATGAAACATAATAGAAAGTTTCCAGAAAATAATTTACCATGTATTGGCCACAAAAAATGATGTATGTGATGTCCCAATTGCCATGTGCTGTGACTTACTAATAATAAGGGCCGTCACCCACAATACAAATTGGAAGAGGTTATTACCCAGGTTGAAGTTGCACATTAAGAATTAAACCAGAAATAACTTTAGATAAATAAATTTGAAATTCATAGAAATTTAATGGGTCTATGACATAGATTTAGAAAATTAAAGCAAAATATGTATATAAAAGTAGGGTATTATTGTTGATGATGTGTTAAAAACATGTTTTTAAGGATTTGGAATAAGCAGTAAAAGGTGTCCTACACCACAAAAGGTTAAAGGGGTTGTATGATGATATTAGCATACGAAAATCAAAGTTAATTTGAGGCACACCCCCTTTACGTCGAATTGCCGCTACGGGAAAAAGAAAAGGGAATTTGAGTCTCAAAACTTCAGGTTTTTCTATTCACAAGGCCGGAGGGTGCAAAAAATTAAAAATCTATGACCTGTAATGTTTTAATGCATTTGTTGAGGGGCCACGCCCCCTTAACCTCAAACTGCCGCTACAGGAAAACGAATGAATTGGAGTCTCAAAATTTCAGGTTTTTCAGTTTCAGTTTTCAACATAGTATCTAACCATGAAGGATCTGAGTACCAAAGCTGAAATTTGGTTTATAGGTAGATCTAATATATCTGATTAACTGGGGTAAATTTAAGAAAAGATTTTAAATGTCCAAATGATGATCCGTTTTTTGAGAAACATAGGCGTTTTTCACTTTTATAGATCTGGTCCCATCTTTGAATATATGCTATTCAATTTTAATTGATTTGATCAGCCTGCACTTGCATGTGGCTAAAGACAACTACACTTAGATAATATATCTGTAATAAGAGGGGTATATACCCACTCAAATGGACGCAGGGTGACCTCGAAAATCACAAAAAAATTGCATCGTTAAACAAAGCGGCTACTTTGAGTGCAGATAACTTCAAAAGGGAACTGTTAATCTAAATCATATTTGTGAAATATGGCAAAAAATAAGTTAGAATACCAAGTTTGACCTTGATAGCTATTACCAATTTCGAATTATAAGCTTCAAAAGTTGAAATAAATTGCATTTGCTCATCTTGAAGAACCACGCCCCATTTTTGAGGAGTCAATATCTTGGAAACTATATATCCTATAAGGCTAATTTTTTTTTTGTTAGTTTAGCATATAGTGGATTATTTTTATGGAGTTTCATGAAAATCTGAGACAATCATACAGGAATTTTTTAAAAATCTGGTTGATTTGACATGGAATGACCCTACAATAGGTCAAAGGTCAGAATGTACCATTTCTGGTCACTATTTGAATATAAATAGACGAATATAAACATGAATCTCCTGAACACTTTGCAGGGTTCGAAATAACGCTGGTCCGCCGGCCAATGGCTAGTAAAATGCATGGCGGACCTGTTAATTATCCCAATAACAAGTCCGCGTGACCAGTTAAAATGTCAATGAAAGTCTGACGAAATACCTAAAGCTTTAATCATTCACCTCTTAACGATGTCTTTACAAAATATTTCACACAGATAATGTCAACAAGATCGCTATTTTCTGTTTATTGTCATGTTAATGTCCGCTACGAACAGCCTCGGTCTCAACATGGTCTCAGTCATTCAAGGCGAACCGATGAACAACGCGCACTAGCCTAGACCATAGAGAGGAATCCATGGCTAGGCTAGACGTACAGAGGGAAATCCCCTTCTCCGCATGTATAGCGACAAGGAGAAGTTGATTTCCGTCTGTGTGAGCGCCGTGAAGTTAAAACATCCATGTCATGTATCCATCCCACAATGCAACGTGGGACAAAAAGTTAATAAACAACGCAACGATTTCCAGACGAAATGAACCGTTCGTACAGTCCCAATAACATTGCCATGGAGATTATCTATTAATTAAAACGACACGCCAGTAAAATGTTAGATAAAGCACGGAGTTGGATAAAGTCAAAGTTACATCTTCCATTGTTTTAATAAAGTGCATTATCGCCTATGAATAC